CTTCAGTATTTCAATTAGCAGGAGTGCTGTCTTATATTGACCCACAATGTTTCAAGTATAATAGCAAGCCAAATAAAAAATCAGATGTATACAGTGTGGGTGTTTTATTATGGGAATTGACTAGTAACAAACCACCTTTTAGTAATCATCATCAACAACATGCTGCTTTAATGTATGATATTTCTCAAGGATTTCGTGAGGAACCTATTCCTAATACACCTGATGAATACATTAATTTATACAAAGGTAAAAAATCTATATATGTATTTAAAAACTATATATTTAAATACATTAAATTTTTGATAATTTACTTGTATCTAGCATGTTGGCAGGATGACCCAAAAAGCAGGCCTGATATTCAATATGTTGAAAAAATGCTTAATGTAATGATTTCAGGCTCAAATATAGTTGATAAAGTTGATAGAGAGGAAAATTATGGGCAACAAAAAAATGAAGACAGTAATTCTTTCAGTTATCCCAGTACTATTGATCACTTGCAAGAAGATTTTGATAATAAAGTCAAAGAGCTTTCAGAACTCTGAAAATTCTACATTAAAATATTACAATGTAATTTTAAATTATGTGAATTATTTAATATTATATTCATACTCTCATTTCTTATTGTATTTATTTATATAACCAGCATTGTTGACATGGACATGGACTACCCCACCCTGGAGAAAACTATAAATTTGCCTTGTAAATAATGCTACTTTTAGAACAAGTGAAAAAAAATTTTTAATTAATAAATCAACTGGGAATAACAGATGTGGCATAATTTTATTTGGGGATAATAAAAAATATAATAAAATAATTTTGCTCATTAAGAAATTCATCAGGAATATTTTATGAACTATTTTTTTAATGTCACATTCCTATTCTTTTTCTGTGAACTACACCTTTATAACAAATAGCTTGGTATACAGTTGCAAAAAACCACCTTCACATCTTTTCAATATTTGTTAAATCATTATAAGGAATCCATTCAAGATAATATTTATTAGAATATATAGTTGCTTTAAGTTGTATTTTTAATCAACTCATTTAATGTTCATTGCCATTAGTTGTTAATCACATAATTGACGCCATGAATATGAAGTAGTTAATGAGTCAAACCTTCTCACAGTGGACTATAATAATAATTAATATTAAATTCTTGTCATAATGGATTTTTAAAATTTTACATGTCTCAATTCATTTGGCTGTGTCAAGGTTTGACTGTATCAAGAAATTCGTTATATGGAGAATAATTCTATTATTAAACCTCAATCCATTAGTATCCACTAAATTGAGATACACATACACTACATTGAGATTCATTGTGTAATATAAATTTAATATAAAATTTAGGAATCAGATCAAATCACTCTAAAATTCAATTCAATTAGATTTGTTTGGAGCCTTAGTTAAAAGTTCAATTATCTAAAAACTCTTAATTTAATCTAATTAAAAAAAAAATGTTACTTTCTTTATAATTCCCGTGAGTTAATTATTTTATTGGTTTATTACATTTTATCAAATTGGACTGGTTTGAATTCTTGAAATGTATGGTGCGGACCCTTAACCACCATTTACTGCGCCTCGTGGC